CTCTTCACGCAATTGTTTCACAAGAGCAGGTGAAATAGCTGCCACAATACCACAGAGGGGCAGAATTTAGTGGAGCAGACGTGCATTTGGAAGTAGTATTTTGCTATAACAGTACCATGTAATAATTATGATGGATGACAATTTTACTTTATTTCAGTTTATCCAAATTCACATTACAAAGAGACAGCTTCGCGGAATAAGTCAATTAGACCAACAAAAAGAAGGTCAAGAGACAAAGAAAGCAGAGGATGTTGGATGGCCCTACAACCGTAATAGAGTATCTGAACATAACTAATCCCATTAACAGATTTTAAACGGACTGAAAGGGGTAGAGTCGGGATGAAATGAATAGGTTAAATTTTAGAAAACCACAGATTTCACCTACAAAGGCAAACTAGTGATCCACTCAGATTTCAACAACCAGTAACATTAAATATAGACACCACCCATCCTCATTGTCAAAATTTATATTCATAAGTCGAGACTTTCCACAAGTTTGACCTTTTATGACACAATAAGGAAAGAGTCAACCTGAACTTTCTGGATATTAGTACTCAAATTCTCTTCAAGATTTATCTCTAGCAGCAATTTTTATCACTTAGTTCCTTTATTCATAAATGTTCCCAGTAAATGAATTACAATTTACAATGTTTCAAGAGTATAACCACTGAATTAAATCCTCTTTTCTCCTATACGTATACAGACACACACACACACAGCACTCTCTCTCTCTCTCTCCTCCCTCTGACCCGACTAGCTTGGGATTGCACGTAGAAGTAGTGGAAGTAGTAGTTGTTTGGATAAGCTATATAATGGATTAGATCTCTTGTAAGGGTGAAGCCTGCAATCTGTTATCTTTAGTGATACTAGATTCTTTTTTTATTCCATAAGGAAAAAAGAAAAAGAAGAAATGGCTATGGAGGTTAAACGATGGGATAAAAGCTCCCTGGAAAGCAGTGGTGGAGGTGATATATGGAAAAGAGGGCTTCTTTGCACCTAAAAAAGTAAAAACTCCGTATGGGGTAGCTGTTTGGAGACAGATTTGTAACCTATGGGAGAAATTTAACATGTATGTTGGCTTGAGGGTGGGCAACGGGAAAAAAATCAGACTTTGGGAAGATAATTGGGATGGTTCTGGTCTGCTGAAAATTCAATTTCCCAACCTGTACAGATTGGCCAATAATCCAAAAATCCTCTTAGCTGATATATTTACTGATACAGGTTGGGACTTCCAGTTCAGAAGGAATTTCTTCGACAGAGAAATGCATGAGGTTGATATATTTATTCAGAAGATGCAATCAGTGGTGTTATCGCCAGAAAAAGAAGACAGCCTACTCTGGAAAGCTAGTAAAAAAGGTTTTTTTACCGTTAGTTCACTCTACAAAATACTAAATGCTACCCAGCTGGTGCAAGCACAAAAGTGGCCTTGGAAGATGGTTTGGAAGACTACAGTCCCAACAAAAGTAGCATGTTTTGGTTGGCTAGTAGCACATGAAGCATGTCTGACTCAAGAAAATTTGATGAGAAGGGGTTGGATAATGTGCAGCAGGTGTTACTTGTGTGAGAAAGCTTGTGAATCCGTGGACCATCTTTTTTGCATTGTGAATTTACTTGGCAGGTGTGGTCCATGTTCACGGCTAACTTTGGCATCCTTTGGGCAAGTCCTAAGAAATTCAGGAATATATTAGAGTGTTGGGAACCTGCATGTCCAGAAGCATCCTTAAAGAAGTTTTGGAGAGATATTCCTCTTAGCATAGCTTGGACGATATGGAAAGAAAGAAATAATAGGTGTTTTGAAGGCAAGAAGGAGCAGCTGCAATATGTGAAATACAGTTGTTTACATTATTTGTACTACTGGAAAGATGGTGATGTTGTTATGAATTTTCATGATATGCTGGACATGCTAGACCGCTTAGGATTTTAATGTTTTTAAGCCAGCAGTATCATTGTATTTTTACAGTATCAGCTTGATACTGTTATTAATAAAATCTTCACCTTATCAAAAAAAGAAAAAGAAGAAAGAATCTACTGTGACTAAAGATTCAATGAGCAAGGAACTGTGTTTGTAGCACAAATCTCATCGTCAATGTTTTCATACTCCCAAATCGAATGATGAAGGCAGTAGAACGAGCAAATTTTACCATTCCTGGGGGCGAATTATTTGGGATCAAATAAAGATATATGCTTACAATAGATTTGAGATTTATAAGTACAACGTAGGTAGAGAGAAGAAGTTCTCTTCAATTTGGAGTCTCCTTCATCACAAACTCTGAATGCCATGGAAAAAAATTGATGTTTACCACTTCATTAATGATCAAAGAAACAACTAAACGTAGCTGGAGCATGCAGTAGGTGTACATGTGTAAAAAATATATCCTCTAATGCAACGTCTTTCTTCAAGTAGTGGGTAAACGGCCACCCCTTGCAGATGTGCAAAGCTTCTAAATCTTTGTCGCACAATCATTACAGCACTCAGTGTTGAAATTTGCACATCATATCTACTAAAACAAATGTTTGGCAACTAGATCCACAAATTTTACTCTAGAGATTCTTATTTCCGCTTTAACATGTTAATGACAGCTATATTCCAGAAAAGAAAGGGAAAATAAAGGCAAAACCTTTTGCTGCGGCTTCATTTGATAAAGCAGTCCCATTTTGCTCACTTGAGTTCGCAACATTTCTATCTTGCTCGCAAAAAAATGATGTTTACCACTTCAATTAACGAACAATGAAACAACTAAATGTAGCTGCACTTTATAACCAGAACGCGAGTTTTTCTGGCTCACATTTTAAGACACATATTTAGCATGCAGTCAGGTGTACATGTGTAAAAAATGACTATCCTCTAATGCAACGTCTTTCTCCAAGTAGTAGGTAGACGTCCACCCCTTCCGGATGCAACAAGCTTCTAAATCTTTGTTGCACAATTATTACAGCACTCGGTGCTGAAATTTTCACATCATACCTACTAAACAAATGTTTGGCAACTAGATCCACAAATTTTACTCTAGAGATTCTTATTTCCGCTTTAACATGTTAATGGCAGCTATATTCCAGAAAAGAAAGGGAAAATGAAGGCAAAACCTTTTGCTGCGGCTTCATTTGATGAAGCAGTCCCATTTTGCTCACTTGAGTTCGCAACATTTCTATCTTGCTCAGCAGCGGTAGCCACCTCTTCCTTCTGAGCAGCTGTATCAGTTGATTGGTCCTCTATGGAAGGAGTATTTTCAACTTTACTCTCCACAACTTCAGCACCTTCCTGACTTACTGTATGCAAAATTGGATTGTCAGCTAGTTTCTTGGTGACACCTCATTAATTTATCTTTCTCACATAACACAACATTATGTAAGTAAATTTCAAGATTTGCCCAAAGCAAGAAGATGATTCTCTCTCAATATGTCAATCAAACCTAAAAGAACATGTGTTGGTCAAAAGAAAGAACTCTATACATAAAACTGGAGACTATAAGGACTGACAAAGATGCAATAGGATGAAGCAACAGAAGAATAATATACCAAACTTTCAACATGAACTATACTAGAAGTGCCTTTGCTTACCATCCATCTTTTCCACAGATAATATGTAAAGCAGATAATATGTAAAGTGTACGTATATCATGCATCAACACCTTATTTTGGAATCACACATTTGGTGGCTCAGCAATGTAATACTTGTATCTGGTTGTTTGTCATAAATATGCATGCAAGAAGCAAGGATGTGAAATGAGTAATAAATCAGAGGGGAATTAGGAAAGTTTCATAGTAGAAACCTTCATCCTTGCTATTCTCCAAAGGAGTTTCAGATTGTCCAGCTGGGCTTGATATACTTCCATTCTCATCGCCACTAGTTTCCTCTGTTTCTTTGGCAGCTTCTGTGACACTTGCTATTTGAGTTTCAACCTCATTTTTCGCTACTGCATCATCAGTTAGTTTCTCCACGACCTCCTCGCCAGCCACAGTTTCAGATGCTGAAATCTGATCAGCTATTTGCTCAGATGAGCCAGTTTCAGCTTCAGGTTCCACAGCATCTCCCACAGGTGACGCCTCAGCATTTTCAGAAACTGACTCCACTTCTTCATCAATGTTTTGTTTTGTATCCTCGTCATCTATAGTTTCAGGAAAACCATCAATTGCAGCATTGACTGATTCTTCCTCATTGCCTGTAGTTTCAGGCAAGACATCCGTCTTATCAGCCGCCACATCTGCTTCCTCTGCATCTTCCTTTGATTGTTCAGCTAGTTCCTCCTCTTTTTCCCTCTCATCCAGAAATGAAGAAATTTCTTCATTGCTACGGAAAGCCAAAACAAAAGGATTTGTCGCCAAATGGACAACACCCTGGTTGAGCTTTGAGTCCAACTCTGAAGCAGCTTCTTCTTTTTTCATAGTCAAAGTTACCTGTCCTCTGGTAATTCGTAATACACGGACACTAACTTCTTGACCTACTTGTAGTGAAGAGCCACTGTCGATAATTCCGAACGCTTCATCAGCTTCCTCTGATGCAGGCAGGAATCCTTCCTCTCCTTCAGGAAGAGATATAAAAGCACCAGATCTGGCTAAATTTTTTACAGTGCCCTCAAGATCCTGCCCTTTAACAAACTTTGAGACTTTCTTAACCTCATCTCTCCTTTGGTTGTTCCTTTGTGTGTTCTTCCTTGGAGTTCGGGGTCTGTCACTGCTGGTTGGAGCATCTTTCTGTTGCTGAGGCCTACTAGGATCATCACTTTCACGCATGGTGAGAGATATGCGCCCAGTCTCAGTGTTTGCTTCAACTAATCTCACTGTCACCTCTTGTCCAACAGATACAATGCTTCCGACATCCTTTACAAAACTATCACTCAACCTAGAAACATGCACAAGTCCATCTGTAAAAGCTCCAAAATCAACAAAAGCGCCAAATGGCTGGATTGATCTGACCTTTCCAGTAAAAGTTGCACCCGGAATAAGATCTTCATTCTTCACAGGGGGCATCTCACTCTTCCTAGCAGGTCTTGTACGCTTAGCTCGAACAGATGTTTCTTCACTTGTGTTAGAAGCATCGGATGAAGCTTCTGAGGCTTCACCTGATCCATCATCTGTAGCAGCTGATTCTACTTCTTCCACTGCTACATCAGTTTCAGTTGCTGATACTATGAAACCTCTTAATTTAGGTCGTAAAATGCAACCAACTCTAAAATGGGGAAACAATTTAACAGATGTTGACAGAGGCAGGTTATATTTTGGGGTAGGTAAAGTTTGCTTGCTCGATTTCCGCAAAACATTGCATCTTGATAAACATGTATTCTTTCTCGTGATAAAGACAGCTCCTGGAGTAACTGAAACATTGCTAGTTGCAATTGGAACCATCGGAGCCATGTTCATTTGAGATGTGTCAAAGATTTGTGAACTACAAGGATTGGATCATCTGTTTCGCACCTGAGAAATAAATGAAACAGTTAGAGAAAGAAGAAAACATGACTATCATTCAATGACATAATATTGCTATAGTAATTGCACCATGAGCCAAAAGACTATGAACATATAGAAAACCAGTAAAGCACGGGGTAATATAGTACTACAGTTCATGAAATCGATGGACAATGGCATACGGTTAGACTTTAACCATCTAGGCATGTGCCTGCTAATTCAACGAAAAGGACACACAAACAACAAAATTTAAAGATGGATTTGTACTTGGAACATCAAAATTGTGGTTGAAAATATATTACTCCCTTTGTTCCAGGTTATGTGACCCTATTTTCCTTTTTAGTCCATTACGAAAAGAATGGTCCGTTTCAAAATTTGAAAACAATTTAACTTACGCTTCCCATTTTATTCTCGATGACAAGCTTTTATAGCCAAACAAATGATGGCACGTTTAAGAACAGAAGTTTCGAAAGTCTTCTTTTCATTCTTAAACTTCGTGCTCAATCAATAGCTTCACATAGGAGGGAGTATAAGCAATTCCATACTCTAAAAACTCTTCCTAGTCCAGTTAGTTTGTTTAACTTGTAGACCAGCAGCTTAGAAGAACTCAAATTCATTAAAAAGAATGAAAGAGCTGACAAGCCTACTCTCCACACATAAGATGTGAAAATGAATGTATCCCATAAAAAGATAATTCACAAATGCAATTCAACATGATATATTTTGCAAACAACCAAGTAATTCGCTGATTATCTCACAGAAATTTATCTTTAACAATTCAATAAACCAAAACCAACATTTTTGGATAAACTGATGATACTGAGTTATCTTTCAATTAAAAGATTCAATGGCATAGTTACACGAAGAACTTAAACCATTTTCACACAATAACTTGCAAATGAAGCTAAAAATGGAAATTAAAAAGAAAGGAGTAAAAATTAAAGACAGAAGGTTTAAGGACAAACCCAGCTTTGAAGTTGTTTTTGCTGAGGTGATAGGGGTGTACCACTCTCTCTCTCTCCCAGTTTCTGAGTTCAATGTGTGAGAGTGAATGAATGAGTATATGGCTAATAAAAAAGAGGGAAACGAAAGGTGGGGCTTTCTATCCTTATCCGACCATCATCTCTTTCTCAAAGACTATGCTGCTCTCCTGGATCGGGTCGGGCATGGATTTGTTTTGCGTCGGATTTCGCATCCTTCAACCAAACCGGCTAATTAAGCCGGGAAAAGACAGAATTACCTATAAAAGTTAAAATATTTACCTGCTCTATCCATTAAATAATTACAATTCATACCCATTTAAGCTAAAAGACGTTGAACTCCAAAATAACGACTAACACCTAATGCCCTAACTATAAAAATGGAAGAGCATATCAAATTTTGATAGAATATCACAAAAAATTAGCGCACAAAAAGTGAGATTAAACTAGCAAATACTGTAGATCACAGAATTATTGCAGAAGATTTGAAGATTGAGATCCAAAGCCTCAATTGAAAAAACAGAACGATAGCAGCTAAAAATTCGACTTTTTTCTACTCAAATTTTGTTCAAGCGAAAATATTTTCAATCTATTCGAATCATAGCAACTGATTTGAGTTCGAAGATGTCTCGACCCAAAACCTATAATAGGTCATGATGGTAGTGTTGCCTAACACTACCGTTAGGCAACCTTCAATTTAATTTTTCCTTTTTAACTTTCAAAAATAGAAGTTTCCTTAAATACACCGAATGAAAGTAAAATCTCATGAAACCGTACATACTTCTTTCCCAAAAATATCAAGTGTGAATAATACATAAATCACGGTGATAGTAATAAATAAGTACAACAGTGCATAAACGCTATAAGCCCCCAAAATTTGGTGCCACAAGTGCATGAGCAATCTAGGCAATATACAAAACTACTACAACTATTGTCCGAAGTAAAATAGATAAAAACAGAAATAAGGTAGAGGGAGACTCTGATGTTGCAGATCGAAGCAAGGCAAGCATCTCACCACTAAGTCTCCGGGAAATGCGTCTACACGCCCGTGTGACCACTGAAAGTACTTGTCTCAGTACCTGCACAATCAGTGCAGAAGTGTAGCATGAGTACGTAAAACAACGCGTACCTAGTAAGTATCTAGTCTAACCTCGAAGAAGCAGCAACGAAGGATCGACTTGACACTTACTAATGGTCAAACAGTAATAAAATAAAATAGACATAGAGGGTGTGCAACAAGTAGCAACAAAACAGATAAAACATTAATAATAAATCTCCAACATGGACCTATATAAAGTCACTAAAATGTCATAACCGGCCTCGAAGGCACGAACTCAGCTGTTATCAAGAATCAAATCAAATCTCAAGTATTAAGCACGAGTCTGGCGAGGCGAATGGCTCGATCCCATAGGAAAAGTGATACTCAGTATTGCCGAGGCGAACGGCCTGATCCCATAAGAAAAGTATACACAGTAACGCCGAGGCGAACGGCCCGATCCCATAAGAATAGTGTTACCATACTGTCGAGGCGAACGAACCGATCCTATAAGAGTAATTTACAACACTGTCGAGACGAACGACTCGATTCCATAAGAGTATAGAAACTATCTCACTCGCGAAAGTACATGCGAGTCGAGAAGACACGGATTATTGCTCATTAATTTTTCCACTAATTTCCAAAGTAAGAGGCTCAATTGGTATTTTATTCTAACCTCAATCTCAGTCATAAATCAAGAAAATCAAGTACGCAAAATAAATACAAATAATACATTTAAGGCATGATGTGAAGCTAAATCTACCTGGACATAAATGAATACAGCTACGTACGGACTCTCGTCATCTTGTGTGTACATAGCTCCCACAACAAGTAGCACACAATAATTAGTTCACCTAATGGGATAATTCCCTTTTAAAGGATTAGGCAAGAGACTAACCTCGCTCGCTTCCAGGTTCACTATCCGACTTTTAGCCTTGCTAGAACTCCCCAAACGACGCCAAGCAATCCAAAACTAATCAAATGTCGTACAAACTAATCAATATATGCTCAAAAGTTCATACTTTAACTATTAAATTAATTTTCCAACCAAATTTGGAAAGTCCATAAAAGTTACCCCGGGACCCACGTGCCCAGATTTCAAAAGATTTCGAAGATAAATGTTACCCATAACCTTACGAACTCAAATATATAATTTATTTTTGATTTCATAATCAATTCCGTGGTCAAGTCTCATTTTTACCAACCTTAAGTTCCAAGAAAAATCTCACAAATTTTCTCTAATTCCATGTTAAACACACCCATAATCCGTATATTTAACACAAAAATCGATTGGGATCACTTACCTTGTGATGTTGATGAAAATCTCCCACAAAATGCTTTCAAATTCGTCCAAGACCAAGTGAAAATGAGAGAAAAGATACTAAGTCCCATAATAAATCCAAGTCTACCCAGTGATTTCTTCTTTGCGATCGCGGAAAACACCTCGCGATTGTGAAGGACAATTTCTATCACTGACCAAAAACACTCTCTGTCACCTCCTAGCCTTCCGCGTTCGCGATCCCCAGGTCGCGTTCGAGAAGGCCAAATGCTTTCCTGCCCAACTCCACCTTTTCCTTTTTCGCAATCGCGAATGGGCCTCCGTGTTCACGAAGCACAACCAGGTCCACTATCGCGTTCACGAACCATTCTTTGTGTTCGCGTAGGGAAATCAGTTGCCCCTCCAAAATTCATTCTTCGCGATCGCGGGACAACCTTCGCAATCACGAAGCACACCAGCAATTTTCAGCCAACTCCAACTTGCTCCGGGTGGTCTGAAACACACCCGAGCCACCCGGGACCCCGTCCAATTGTACTAACCAGTCCATAAATATATTGTGGACTTACTCAAAGCCTTGGAATCCATAAAACAACAACATAATCAAGAAACGCATCTCAAAACCTCATTAAATCAACTTCTAAGCTTCAAAACTTATTTCAACCAACTCCGAACATGACGAAACATACTTAGACAACTCGGAATGACGCCAAATTTTATGCACAAGTCATAAAGCACAATACAAACCTATTCCAAGGCTTGAAATACCAAACGGGTATCGATAACACCAAAATCTACTTCAAGTCAAACTTAGGAAATTCTAAAATATTCAAAATGCCAACTTTCAACAATAAGCGCTGAAACGCTCCCAACCTATCCGAAACTCAATCGGAACATACGCCCAAGTCCAAAATCATCATACGAGCCTATTGGAACACTCAAATCTCGGTTCTGAGGTCATTTACTAAAAATATTTACTCAAGTCAAACTTGGCCACCTTAGGCCACTATTATAGAACTAAGTGTTCCGAATTCAACCCAAACCCTTCCAAAATCAAACCAAATATTCTTGTAAGTAATAAAATAATAAAAGCACATACGAAGAGTCTTAAATAGGGGAACGGGGATCTATAAGGTAAAACGACTAGTTGGCTCGTTATAGAAGATGCTGAAACTTTTGCTGCTCAAATTCTCATCGTGTTGTTCAGATTTTGATTTTGGAGATTAAAGAAGTTTAGAGCTCAAACTTCTAAATTTTTAACTAAAAATTTTGTTCTTAGTTTGCTGCTCAAATTCTCATCGTGTTGTTCAGATTTTGATTTTGGAGATTAAAGAAGTTTAGAGCTCAAACTTCTAAATTTTTAACTAAAAATTTTGTTCTTAGTTTGCTGCTCAAATTCTCATCGTGTTGTTCAGATTTTGATTTTGGAGATTAAAGAAGTTTAGAGCTCAAACTTCTAAATTTTTAACTAAAAATTTTGTTCTTAGTTTGCTGCTCAAATTCTCATCGTGTTGTTCAGATTTTGATTTTGGAGATTAAAGAAGTTTAGAGCTCAAACTTCTAAATTTTTAACTAAAAATTCTGTTCTTAGTCTGGAGGTTTGAATCATAGCAGCTGATTTGAGATGGAAAAATCTATTGTTGGAATGTACTATTTAACATTAACAGTGTTGAAATTTGCACTATCGAGATTCGACTTTGGACATAAAAGCAGTTTAGCACTCAAGCTATGTAAAAGTGTCGAACAAAAACTAATTATTAACTGAAATTCTATTGTCAATGTGGAGATCTGAACATCTCGAGGTCTGAATCATAGTAAGTGATTTAAGTTTGGAATTCCTGCTCAAATTCACTATTTGACATTAAGAGTGCTGAAATTAGCATTGCTGAGACTCACTTTTCGAGATAAAAGTAGTTTAGCTCGATAATCTAAGTTGAGACTCTGTAAAACCATGGAAAATATGCCAATTTTGTTGTAGCACACTGAAGAATGGGATGATAACCGTGAGCACGTGATTTTTGCCCTATGTGAAATACTCCTACAAATTAAAGAAATAAATTTTCTCAATTATTTGCAATTTTGTAGGATATTGTGTTAATTGTTTGCATTTTGTGCATGTTTACTTTTATTAAAATAAAAAAAAATACAAAAATACCATGCATTGCAGTTAGATTTAGTTTTCATATTTTTAGGATTAATTAGTCAATTAATTGTTTTACTAAAATAAAAATCACAAAAATTGGCCCATTTTTACATTTATTATTTTTAATTCTTAAATTAGTGATTTTTCTCTTTAGTTTAGGATCAAGTAATTGTTAAAATTTATAGTTAGATAATTAGTGTATCTTTACAATTTAGATAATTTAGGAATTTGATTTAGAATTTTACTAATTAAAGAAAGGGAAAAGAAAAACAAATGAAAAAAAAAGAGAATTAGAGAAAAACAAAAAAAAGGGTTGTTTTAATTGGGCCAAAAATTGCTGAAGCCCAAACCTCTTTACCCGTTCCGACCCATGCCCAAAACCTAGCTACCCAGTCCAGCCCCATACTTAACTAAACGACGTCGTTCCCTGGCCAGCAAATTACATCCATTGATCTCTTTTGATTGAACAGATGGGAATTGACCCTCCTTATCATATAAAACTGTCCAAACACCCCCCATACCCATTAGACCCTCCTCATTCCGTCTCTATCAGCTGAAGAAACAAACCCTAACCGCCCCAAGAACCCATGCCGCCTCCGCCGCCAACCACCACCGAAAATCGCCTCACGGCGGTTCCGGTGCTCCAAACACC